AACCTATAATCTAGCTTATTGGTCTACCAAAGATAGCCTATATCTTTATTTGTTGTTATAATTGACTTTGAACTGCTTATGAGACTTGGAAGCAAATATTTTAATAAATATATGTCTGGTGAGAACTCAATATGATGCTATTTTTTATACCATACGGTATTAGTATTGCAATTTTTAAAAATAATGTTTAATTAAAAATAATAACAAATAAAATAAAAAATATCAATAAATACAATTAAAACTTAACTTTCACACACCAAGTTAACTCTATATATATTAGGGCTGCACAAAGTTCGGTTAACCGAGTTGAACCGACCGAAACAAAAAAAATAGTTTGGACCGAAACCGAAACCGATTATTTGGTTCGATTTCGGTTTACATTTTCTTAAAATTTCAGTTTGGATAATAGTAATCGGTTAACCAAACAGAACCGAAAAACCAATTTATACACATATATATACATGTTTTTTATTTATACATATAAGTTATAAAAGCATTATTTTGCTTCAATGACCCCTAAAATGGCTCAACCATTAATTTGCATAGCTTCGCCATAGTTCAAGTCACGGTCCGGGTCCGAGATCTTCCTTTGAGGAGAATTTGAAATTTATTGAGAAAATTAAAGAAGGTGATTGAAAAATCATTTTTTTGGTTCGGACAAAACATCAAATTTTTTGTTAGTTTAAAAATTCAGAATTTATTAAGAAGATTAATAATTATTTATTGCAATTAACCGATAGCCTAACCTAACCGACCGTTGGATTTTTGGTTAAAAACCAACCGAACCATAAATTTCTGTTTGGTTTTCGGTTCTGATAATGGACAAATCGAATTTTCGGTTAACCAAAAATTTAGGTTCGGTTCCGCCCGAATGAGCAGTCCATGCCCCACGTTGATAATAATTACATATTCCGAACCAGGAATAAAATTTCTAACAGAATCCCAACAAACATATGACTTTACAAACAAAATAATACTTAAATAATTAAGCCTGTGATCTGATTATGATTCAATACAGAATAATTATGTCCCTACTTAGTTTATTTTATATCATACAGAGCTTGCACGTTCTTATCATGTTCCGATTTATAATGTTCCAATTTTATAATTAGCTTTAGTCAAGATGGTTGAGATTTTATCATAAAATAATCAAACTCACATAGAAAATAAATCTTCCACCACTACTTAGTACGATAAATTATCAGTTAATCAGATTCCTTAATATTAAAGTTCTACGAATCCTATGTCCAATAAAATAGTACCAAATATACTAAGAACTATTTTCATGAGCTGACCTAATTACAGAGCAAAAATAATATAAAAACAACATCACGAAGCATAGTTTTTCGCCATGTCAGAATCCAAAGCGTGAAAATCTGTCACTTAGACTTAACACGTTTTGAATTAATATATAGACATGGTCCGCATGGATAGTATGATACATGCAAGATAATCTAGACATTAATAGATCATAATTTTAATTGACGAAAATCAAGATAATCTGGTTTTCAAGAAATGTTGACCGAACATCTATAAAATTTTAATTATCAGAATAATTTTACTTGACTTTCGTGGCATAACCAAACATCTTAAAATTTAATAAATAATAATAATACTTTAAGATAATGAATAGATTAAGATCTCTCAAATTTATAAAAACTACATTATCCATTTTATTTTATGCCATCAATATAGAGAGATGAAGTTGAATACTTTTGTAATGTTCATTTTTAATAATGAAAAAAAATTAAAATGTGATACTATTATTTAACTTATAATTTTAATATTATGTACACACATATAACTTATGATAATTTAAACATATGTACACATAGGATCGAATGCTAGTACATATTACTTCCACCCTCCATTAATGTTCTTTATGTCAACAAAAGCAACTATTCATCAAGAAAACTGCACTGCTTAGCCAAAACTTAACATCTTCACATCTTCTTCCTTCTCATCCTTCCTCAAATGTCTTCTAACATCCCTTGTCAATTGACAAACAAACACTGATTTGTTTCCTCCTTCCCTGCCTTCAGGGAAATTTCAAGCAGGATCGTATCGTATATAGAACACATTAAAAAAGAAAGTTCACGAATTTTCTCGTTCAACTTGTACTTGGGAGTTTTAGCGAGAATCATGTTCCATTCACAAGTTATGCATTTCGTCTTTCTAGCCATCTTCATTTCTACTGAGCCGGTTTTCATTTTACCGCCAATTTTGGGCCATCAGCTTGTTCCCTTGTCAATGTTGGACAGATACTTGATGATGTGATCATCAGTTCAGTTCTTTTCTCAAGCTGCCATGGATGTAGAGTTGTCATTAACCTGGTCGAAAGAATAAAAAATAATAACAATAATAAATTTGATTTATCTGTCTCTTTTAAGTTGCAACTCTCGCAACTTCGAACTCGTAATTGGTTCGTACAAAGGGTTTAACTACGAAAGAGAATATTAAGAAACCTTCCAAATGTGTCTGATAATATTATAACGAGGACTCATGAGGCCGAGAAAATAATTGTTCGTTTTCTATTAATCATGTCAAACTGAAACCTCAACGGTAGTATTTGTAATAACCTCCAATAATATCAAAAAGAAAAAATAAAAAAATGCAGGCATTCCGTTAAACAACCACCTGCAGATTTTGATTTTTACTTCTGCTCAGCAGGCTTCATCTGAGTAGCTCCCTGAACAACAGGGTGAATATACAAAAAACCAGCTGGCAAGAGGGTCCCACCAATACGAGCAGTGTGGATGGAGCTGCCACCTGTCACATCACTAGAAGCTGCAACAATTGCCTTAGATGGTTCATTTCTGGTCAAACTGTTGGGCAACACGACAGGTTGTAGGTGCTGGTCGGGCCTCGTCCGATGCATGTAAACCCCATTCGGGGTGAAACTCGTGACTGCAGAGTGAGGAAATCGGACTTGTGAATACAGTTGTGCCTGCATTGGAGTCATGACATTACGGTTCCCCAATGTGCTGGGATTTGATAACAAGTTTTTTGGTAGTTGGGGTGAAAAGATTGGGGTTTGGCCAGTTTTGGTGGAAACAGAGGAATTAGTAAGGGACTGAGCTTGTGCAGTTGTCGGTAGTTTTTTATTTGCGCTGAAAGATATTTGATTTTGTGTTTGTGGTTGAGATTGATGATACTGGTTCGGGTTCGAGTGGGGCAGAGAGGATTGAGCTTGGGAAAATGGTGTTTTTGACAAGTAACTCCAATGGGGAGATTGGACCCGGCAGCCATTATTGCTCTGGGTGAGATTTTGCGGAAAGTTTGACAGAAATTTCCCCGCCATTACAGATGATGCAGTCATAGTCTGGCCTGAGCTGCCAGTCACTACATTGCTGCTATCTATTGAGCCTGAACTCATTA